GAAAAAAAAAAAAAAAAAAAAAAAAAACCTTGAATTCATGTAGCTCAATACCATCTGATCAAAAAGAAATGATAGTGTGAATTTATGCACTTTTTAAAAATTAAAATTTGATGCAGAGCTCTGTTATTGGTTTTGATCAGCCATGACTATGCACAAATAAATAAGGCCATGAAAATACAGAAAAAACATAAAACCATAAGGAAAGTTTATTAACAAGATCAGGTCATAGATGGAACTTGCATGCATGGGTCATTGAACTGGTTTCAAAGTCAAAAAAGGCAAACACAAAATGACAAAGTAAATACCCTATTAAAAATTGCCCCCTTCTCAAGCTTTAGCTTTCTAACATGAATTTTTATTTACTAAAACAAGCCAAGTTTTGTATCTATCTTGTGCAATGATGAAACAGATCAGACGAAAATGGTACAAAGGAAGAACATCAAGGCATCCTCAGAGACTGAAAACACCCACCCCGGTGAAAGAGCCTACCTACCAGGCATCAAAATGTGATCTAGACAACACAAAACTCATGAATCAAAACTGCAATTGGTACGTGTTCTCACAAAAATCTGATCACCCTTCAAGAGAATCCAATCCTCAGGAAAAGACAATTCAATATTTTGGGGGTATTATAATGGTAGAATTCCTATCCATTCACAAAGAATGTCCATATAATATATATACATTAGGGGGCCTAGTCTCTCTCAAATACAACTGCAAAAGACATGAGTTGTGGGCATCCCTTGGGTTCTCCATTATTTTGCAGTTTAAGAAGGTATAGAACCTCTAGAAGCTAACTTCTCCCACGATCACTCAAGGAATACATTGTATTTAATCTGAGAAGCCTACCTCAAATCCTAGGATGGAAAAGTTTGTTTGTTTTAGTGATAGCACTCAGCATTTGATAGAAGGAGGAAAATTTTCCTTCAAATTCAAAACAAGGTGCATTAGGACACAAGAAATGCATCGTTGTGGAAGTGAAAAGGCAAACCAAACAAACACAAAATCACATTAGTCTGACAAAGTAGCAAAGGGCCAAACTATCATCAGAACCCTTACCATGCAAACTAAACTAACTTCAAAAAACAAATAATTAGACCCAGCTTCCAATAGGGACGTATATGTGCTTTACCATGAAAACCAACACATATCAGGCCAAACATACTACATATAAAAAGCTTACTAGCAAAGCGAAGACAAAAAACAGTACATGCAGAAACACAAACAATCGGAGGCACTTATTTAGAAACGTGGACATTTTCACATAATCCAAGACCCCAATTGATCAAGCAGAAAAAGGGAACAACCTCGGCAATCTGAAAAAACACACCAAACACATACCTTCAACAGAACAAACTGTCCTATCCAATCGCACAAAGAAAACCCTAAACCTCAACCATATATCAAACCAAACCCACCACAGATCTACAACAAACAAAATCAAAAATCCTCCCACCCACCCCCAAAAATAAACGGGGAATAACCCAAAAATAAAACCTTAATCAACAACCCCAAATAAAAATAATGATGATAATAATATTAATAATAGAACCCCGTAAATGGACAATGTAAAATCAAGTCAGAGAGAGACCTGGAATGATGGATTGATCAAAACGGCATTAGAGAAGAAGATGAACGAAACCAGAGAGAGAGAGAGAGAGAGAGAAGGAGAGAGAGAGAGAGAGAGAGAGAGTTTGGTGGGTTTTACAACGGACCCTAATAAATGAAATGTGCGCGTCTGCAAGTTGATCAAGAATTTCAAATTAAAGAGAGAGATGAGCGTAGGTAGGATAGGAACGAGGAGAGAGAGAGAGAGAGAGATTTGTCGGAAAAATACAAAATTTAAAGAAAGGTTTAAAAAAAAACGTAGGACCCACCTATTCCTTGATTTCCTCGCTTGCATATTTTTTCAAAAATTGAATGAGAATCTGACTAAAATTTTCATTGATCCAGTTAATATTACTCAATTGAACTATTACATTAATGAAAAGTCTTCCAAAGTAGGAGTTATTTAAGATTTAATATTTAATAAAGATTTAAATCGGGACATATAAGTAGTAAATTAATTAATAATCTAATTAGTCACGTAATCTTAGAACTAATTAAATAGTAATTTAGTTAATTAAATTAAATCAAACATTAAATTAATATTATAAGATTAACTAGTAATATTCAGTATAAATAAGAATTAATTTAATTATAAAAAAAATTTGAACTAATTTTTAATTTGATTTATTTAGTAGTTTAAAAATAAGGTCAAAACTATATTAAAAAGTCAACTAAAATTGAAGGAAAGATTTTAATCAACTTATTAGTGACATAGTAGTAAATTTTAAGAACTTTATTAAGTAAGCTTAAAAGTAGATTAAGAGTAATTAGAATCTAATTAATATTTATGGGGTTTAATTAAAACTTAAATTAAGTTAATTAAATATATTAAAAAATCAATTATAGATTTAAATAACTCATTAAAGAATAATTTTAAAGTTATCACTAATGTAAAAATTGGATTTAAAGTCAGAGTTTTAAGATCGGTTATAAGGTAACCGATCTTAAAAGTGACGCGGTGACAATTTTGTAAATAATATGAACACTTTTAAGATCGATTAAAATTTAACCGATCTTAAAAGTACTTTTAAGATCGGTTATAAAATAACCGATCTTAAAAGATATGTCTGACATAACTTTTAAGATCAGTTACAAAAGAACCGATCTTAAAAGTGCTACTTTTAAAATTGGTTATTTAAGAACCGATTTTAAAAGTGTTACTTTTAAAATCGGTTATTTCAGAACCGATTTTGTATGTACTATACAAAAATCGGTTCATAAATAACCGATTTTAAAAGTATCGTCACTTTATTAAATAAGCTTAAAAGTAGATTAAGAGTAATTAGAATCTAATTAATATTTATGAGGTTTAATTAAAACTTAAATTAAGTTAATTAAATATATTAAAAAAATCAATTATAGATTTAAATAACTCATTAAAGAATAATTTTAAAGTTATGTAAAACTAGAATTAGTGCTTAAAATTAGACTAAATCAAACTTTAATCAAGAGATCTAATGAAGAGCATGTGTGTATTGACCTAGTTATAAATAAATAGTAAAGCTCATTCCCTTCTCATTTTATGCATATCTCTAACATAGAGAGGAAATTTGGATTTTAATTTTTTTTTTAGTTTCTCCTCCTTCTCTTTAAAACTCTCTGCCTTTTTCTCTAAAACCTATACCACTAAGTAGCCTCCTTTCTTGTTATAGTTCAAGGATGTTAATGAGGAGCTTGTGTCCTTGATTTAAAAATATAGAGAGATTCTCTTTTATCTCTTACTTGTCTTGAGTGGTTGAGAAATTATTCTCATTATACTATTATTATAATTAAATTTTGTTAAAATTTTGTGGCTTCTTTTTAAAGTGAGGCCATATTCATATGTAATCATGTCTCTAGAATCATTGAGAAACTTTTTGAATTTTTTTGAGCACATTCACTATTTTTAATGGATGTATTAAAATGTTTTGTTGAATCTACCTTGTGTTATTTTTACTTGATTACACTTTTTAAATAAGATATTAGTGGGAATTGGAGAAATAGAAACCTTCTACATGACAATGATGATATCTCAAAATTTTCATATGAATTTACAAGCCCAAGAAGTATTTGATTTTTATTTTTTATTGGAATTTGATAAATTTGTCCTATTAAGTTTTTATGAAAATTATTTTATGTGTGAGATAAATTTTGGGAAAAATATATGATGTGTGGAGACATATTAGGAATACCCTGGAATTTTCTTAAAATATTATAAAATTATTTTATAAATTCATTGTGTAAGCTTTGTTTTCTACCAACAGTGATAAATAATTGTAAAATGGAATTTGTTCTTCATAAATCGTGAGAAAAATGTGTCCACAATGATGTTTTATAGTACCTTTGTAAAATATCTCAAAATTTAAAGAAGGTTTATTATTTTAAAAAATATTAATACTTATTTTATTGAAATATCCAACAAAGATATTTCATTCACCTTTATTCAAAAAGTACAATTGATAGCGTAGTTTGTTCGTGTTGCAGTTGATGTGTTATTATCGAAAAGAAGTGACTATGCAAATGTATTTGTGCGCGAACCTCAATAGAGGATATCATAATTATGGGTGGGGCTGAGAGACATGTATGTTATAATCATAGATTGAAGCTATGTACTTTGATTTATTGATTTTGGGAGATGAAGTTATAAGCTTTTACTCATGTACGCATAACCTCTAGTTACCCCTATGTACCTTTGGACAACACAGCTTCGTGCAAGTCTTAAAAGAATATCGTGTGTGATGATGTTCTTGAAAGAAGGATGTGAATGACCATAAAAGGTACTTGAGGTATGCTCGTTGGCTTTGGGTCCTTGGAGATAATCAGGCGCCAGGTTGTGGAGACTCAGTGCAATTGGGGAATTCAAACATGTCGACTTGGCAAATCTCAACCTATGCGAGGCATAGCCATGATTGGTGAAAGCATTTATGTCAAGTACTAGGATAGGACATGTGTGTCAACATAATGAATGGCAAAAGATATGCAATTATATATTTATTTGTAACAATTATTCTCTTAATTAGGATAATTAGCCGTAGTAAATGTATATATATGGCAGTTTAGCTTATTTAGTTGGCTGAAAATCAGCTTGACAAATTGTAATTACTTTGTATTTATATGAGAATTCTCCAACAGGAGAATATACAGTCTTTGACTCAATCTTCTCTAGTTTTTGACATGGTATCAGCCTAGGTTACGATCCCACAACCTAGTTTGTGTTTTTTCCTTCAGCCTCGTCCTAGATTCCTGATCCTGCTTTCTCGATTTCTATTTCCGGAGCTCCATGGCTTCCGAAAAATATGATGTCTTGTTCGTTCGCCTTACTGAAAAAACTACTCAGCTTGGGCATTTCAATTTCATATATTTGTCACCGGAAAAGATTTATGGGGTCATGTTGATGGCAGCACTCCTGCCCCTAACAAAGACACAGAGACGGTTGCTCATGCTCAAGTCATGGCCTGGATCCTTGGTTCCGTTGATTCAAACATTGTCCTGAATCTTCGTCCTTACAAGACTGCAGCAACAATGTGGTCTTACTTGAAGAAAATTTATAGTCAAAATAATGCCGCTCGTCGTTTCCATCTTGAGCATGACATAACTAATTAATTTTAAACAGGATAGTCTCTCCATCTCTGATTTTTACTCTCAATTCATGAATCTTTGGGCTAAATACACTGATATAGTTTATGCAAACTTGACTTCTAAAGGTCTAAGTTCCGTACAAACAATTCATGAAACTACTAAACGTGACCAATTTCTTATGAAATTGCGATTTGACTTTGAAGGCATCCGGTCCCATCTCATGCATAGAGATCCTGTACCATCGTTGAATGCGTGCCTCAACGATTTGTTACGTGAAGAATAACGTCTTCTTACACAGTCCATCATTGAAGAACAGAGATTATCTACTGTTCCCGTAGCATACGTGGCACAAGGGAAGTCACAACGCCATGACATGGGTGCTATTCAATGTTTTAGTTGCAAGAGATTTGGAACCTATGATTAATCATGTCCAAAAAAATTATGAAAATAATGAAAAAAGGATGGCCATATTATTAAGGAATGCCCAATAAGGCCACCAAGGAGAACTGCAACAGCTTTTACAACCACTACTGATTCTTCTATTCCCAACAGTTTTGCCAATCCAGCACCTGTCCCACAACATGCTACTACTGCTGTTCCAACTTTGACTCCTGAAATGGTTCAACAAATGATCATTTCAGCATTTTCTACTTTGGGATTCTCAGGTAAATCCTTTTCACTGTGGTATTTTGATTCTGGGGCTTCCAACCACATGACCAACAATACTCGATTCCTTACTAATATAAAAAAATATTTGGGGAATCTCAACATACATACTGTTGGTGGAAATCAATTGCCTATAACAGAAACTGGTGATATTTCTTCATCTCTAACAAATTTCTTTGTCACTCCTAGTCTCACCAGTAATCTTATTTCTATTGGTCAATTAGTCGATAATGATTGTCGAGTTCAATTTTCACAGTCTGGTTATCTTGTGCATGATCAACACTCGGGGACGATAATCGCGAAGGGGCCTAAAGTTGGACGTCTTTTTGCCATCCATTTCTCGTTGTCTCCAAGTCTTTCTTTACCTTTAGTCTCTTGTAATTCTGCTATTTTTGATTATCAAGTATGGCATAGGCGTCTTGGGCATCCCAACTCCAATGTACTCCATGACATGCTCAAATCTAGTTTTCTTGGAAATAAACACACCCCATCTCTTAATGATATTCATTTTGATTGCATTCCTTGTAAGCTTGGCAAAAGTAAAATTTTACCTTTTCCAACACATCAGTCGCATGTCACCCAACCATTTGATATCATCCATAGTGATGTTTGGGGGATAGCACCAGTTACATCTCATGCTTATTACAAGTATTTTGTAACTTTTATTAATGATTATAGTCGTTTCACTTGGGTCTATTTTCTGCGCTCAAAAGATGAAGTCTTTGCTACTTTTAAATTTTTTTATGCTTATGTTCAGGCCCAATTCTCCTCCAAAATCAAGATTCTTCGCTCTGATAATGGGGGGAATACACCTCGCACTTATTTCAGGAATTCTTGCAAACCAATGGCATTTTATCTCAACGATTATGCCCATCAACCCCCTAACAAAATGGGGTAGCTGAACGAAAAAATCGCCATTTGCTAGATGTTGTTTGCACTCTTTTGCTGGAGTCGCATGTCCCATCACGTTTTTGGTGTGAAGCCCTTTCCACTGCAGTTCATCTTATAAACAGATTGCCATCTCCTTCCATAAGTAATGAATCCCCTTTCACTCGATTATTTGGTCACCCACCCGATTACTCCACTCTTCGTATCTTCGGTTGTGCATGTTATGTACATCTTCCTCCACAAGTACGCACTAAACTCACTGCACAATCTGTTGAATGTGCTTTTCTTGGCTATTCTCCTCATCCAAAGGGCTTTTTATGTTATGATCCTAAACTTCATCTCGTTCCAATCTCTCTAAATTTCATTTTTGTATAAAATGTATATTTTTTTTGCAAAACATCATGACTCGTTCTCTTCTCCAATTTCTGTTTTGCCATTGTTTTCTAACTCTTTTGCCAGTCCATCATCATCTAGACCTCTCTTGACCTATCAAAGAAAAAAAACTACTCCTCAACATCAACCAGCAGAATCCCATGGGCCCCTTCCAGATAATTCATTGGCTATTGATCCAGTATAAGCTTCAGCACCAGAACCAACTCCTTCACGATGCAGTTCACGCATTTGTAAGCCCCCAGAAAGCTATATCAGTTCCATGACAGCAACTTTATCATCTATTCCTATTCCTTCTTCTTATAAACAGGCAATGCAGAATGAATGTTGGCAAAAAGCTATTGCAAGTGAACTTCTCGCCTTGGAAGAAAATCAGACATGGGATATAGTGCCATGTCCCCCATCTGTTAAGCCTTTGGGCAGCAAGTTTGTGTTCTCTAACAAGCTGCGTTCGGATGGATCCATCGACCGTTATAAGGCGCGACTAGTTATGCTTGGAAATAAGCAAGAGTATGGCCTAGACTATGATGAGACTTTTGCTCCAGTTGCCAAGATGACCATTGTACGTACTATCCTTGCTCTTTCTGCATCCAAATCTTAGCCACTACATCAAATGGATGTAAAAAATGCTTTCCTCCATGGTGACCTTAAGGAGGACATTTACATCACACTTCTTGGTGGTATGTCGACTCTCTCCCCGCCTAATGTTTGCAAATTGAAACGCTCTCTATATGGATTGAAGCAGGCCCCTAGAGTATGGTTTGAGAAATTTCGCTCCACTCTACTTGGTTTTTTATTCACTCAAAGTCAGTATGATCCATCACTTTTCCTCTAAAGGACTCCTAAAGGCATCGTCGTCCTTCTTGTTTATGTGGATGACATTGTGGTCACCGGCTCTGATCCAGATGCTATTTCTAAAACCCAACAAATGTTGCATTCAACTTTTCACATGAAAGAGTTAGGTCATCTCAATTATTTCTTGGGTTTAGAAGTGCATTATCATCCTGAAGGCATTTTCATAAATCAGCACAAATATATTCAAGATTTAGTCCAGCTAGCTGGACTCACAAATGCTACCCTTGTTGACACTCCAATGGAATTTAATGTTAAATATAGACGACATGAAGGAGAGCTTCTTGACGATCCCACTCAATATCGAAAACTAGTTGGTAGTCTCATTTATGTGACTATCACTCGCCCCGATATTTCTTTTGTTGTACACACCGTTAGTAAGTTCATGCAATCTCCACGACACTTCCATTTTTCAGCAGTACAACGTATCATTAAATATATCCTTGGCACCTCAAGGCGTGGTTTATTCTTTCCTAAAAATTCATCTCTTCAACTCCAAGCATATAGTGATGCTGATTGGGCTGGCTGTCCAGAAACTAGGAGATCAACTACTGGCTAGTGTATGTTCCTTGGGAATGCTCCTATTTCATGGAAATGTAAGAAACAAGATTCAATATCAAAGTCATCCACTGAAGCAGAATATCGCGCAATGTTTGCTGCTTGTTCTGAAATAATATGGCTACGTGGTCTTCTTGCAGAGCTTGGATTGTCTCAAGCACAACCCACTCCACTGCATGCTGATAACACCACTGCCATACAGATTGCAGCAAATCCGGTTTACCATGAACGGACGAAACACATCGAGGTTGATTGTCAATCTATTCGAGATGCGTATGATCGTAAAGTCATCAATCTACCACATGTTTCAACATCTATTCAAATCGCTGACATTTTCACTAAAACGTTGCCACGCCAACGTCACAATTTTCTACTTGGCAAATTGATGCTTGTAGATTCACCAGCATCAATTTGAGGGGGGATGTCAACAGAATGAATGGCAAAAGATATGCAATTATATATTTATTTGTAACAATTATTCTCTTAATTAGGATAATTAGCCGTAGTAAATGTATATATGGCAGTTTAGCTTATTTAGTGGGCTGAAAATCAGCTTGACAAATTGTAATTACTTTGTATTTATATGAGAATTCTCCAACAGGAGAATATACAGTGTTTGACTCAATCTTCTCTAGTTTTTGACAATGTGCTCCCAATCATCATACATAAAGAAACTTGTAAGAATACTAGGTTTTAGTAGTGAGGTTTTTGCTATATACATTAGGATGTGCATTAGTACTCTTGAGTGATAATGCTAGAAAAGCATAACATGGTGGTATATGATATTGTTGTAGAATTATCAAGTTCGTTTTGTGTGACATTGCCAAGGATAAAAGAAACTCACTTCATACATTTATTTTTCAGAAGGCGATGGATTGTAGCCAACTAACTTTTTAAGCTATTCAATAATTTGACGATGATACAAACTAAAGAGTTCAAAGACACAAGTTGATTATTGTAATTTTTGTAAAATTTAAGAACGATGAACGATTGCTTTAAGCGATTTAAATCTAGATCTTGATCCAAAAATATTCTTCAAATCTAATCCAGATCTATTTGAACTTCAATTCATAATCATGAAAAATAAAAAATAGAACTAGAAAAAAGAAAAAGCCAAAAAGAATTTGTACAGTAAAATTAGGTTGGGAACTCAGATATTACTGCAATTCATGGAATCTTGAATCGATTAAATGGACTAGTCAAGAATCTTCATCAAGACGTTACAACTCATTTATTTAGAAAATATAGAGAAAAATGAGAGAGAGAGAGAGAGGGGGATAAAAAGAATTTAGAGAAATTTGTAGAGGAAGCAACTCTAAATTTTGAAAAATGATTAAAAGTGTACAAAACAAGTCTCATAACACCTATTAATAGAGCAAGATAGTGGCCTAATTAGAATATCTATAAGGCCCAACCCACTAATAAAATAATTAGCAAGATTAACATTCTTCTACAATAAGTTTCTAAAGAAAATCCAAAATAAACTATAGAGGTGTAAAATTGTAGCACATTTTTGGACTCTAAGATGTTCGAACTAGATGAAACTCTCAACAAAAGAGTTGTAGAGCTCTCTCTTAACTTTCCAAGGACACCAAGAATTCATGATTCTAAGTTTAGGAGCTCAAGATAATAGCATGTCAGAGTGGACAAAAAATATGAAAATTAACTAAATTTAAAATTGAAACCAAAATAGTCCACTAAAACAAATCTCAACCAATTCATCAATTTAAGATACTTATAAATATCAAATAAGCCCAATGTAATGCACTAAAAGATGTATCAATTATGAACTATCAATTATGTAACACCTCGTTTTTCAAAATACTATTATTATTATTATATAGTATTTGGTCAATATTATTTTATTATTATAAGGGAATGTTATTTTGTATGTTTTAAATAAGTATTTTTATTAACATTTTAAATAATTTATTTATATGTTTTAAGGGATAATTTGGGAGTTGATAAATTATATATTTTATTATAAAATCCAAAAGGTGGATTTTATATGATATTTGAATATTGAAATTATATTATTATATTTTGGGTCAGAAATATATTATTATTATTATTATAATAGAGGAAAAATATTTTATATAGTATATGAATTTCTTTTATTTAATTATTTTGGGATAAAAGAGAAATGGGTCGGAAGTGAAGGAAGATGAGTTGGGTTGACCCAGGCCAATGGATTATTTTAGAAAGGGGTCAGACAGAGTTAACCTTATCTATCTCATTTGTGTTCTAAAGGGTTAGGAAAGAAAGAAAGGAGAAATAGAGAGTTCTGAGGAAGATTGCTCAGGAGGTGTTTAGAAACAATCTCAAATTTCTTTAGGGTTATTCTGTTTAACGCAACCAGGTATAGGGAAGAAAAGATTATTTGTATGCAAAGTTACATGAGGAAATTAAGTAGAGGAGGAATCTCATAGGATTATTGATAATTTTATAATTATTTTTGTTTGAGAAATTGATGATCCTATTAAATTTTGCATGTATTGAGGATCAAGAATATGCAAAAAAATTGTAAAAATAATGACATAAGAAAGAGATCAAAATTGTAGAAAAGTGTCTGAGTTTGATTTTGGAAAAATTGAGGGTTTAATATTCTATAAAATTGATGATTCAATTGGGTTTTATATTGATTTATAAATGTGATTATTATATTATTTGGTAAAATTGATGATCTAGATGATAATTAGATTTATTGGAATGTTATATGTAAGTTAGGGTTTTTGTAGATTAATGAGTAATTGGGAGATTTTACATATTGATGTATCTTAGTATTTTTGTAATATCTTTTTCTGTGATTAACCAAATCAATTTTCATTTGTTGGGTTAGAAAGTAGAAACTTGGGGCTATAATTTAGACTCTAAGAATCATGTAAAAATGTTAAGAATTGATTGATTTACGCGAGTTATAAGTTCAATCTCCATTCTAGTGTGCAAAATATTAAGTTTTATATTGTCATCCATGCGAGGTGACCTTAAAAACTTTTTTAGGCTTTTTGTTCTTCAAAAAGGTTATAGATTTGGATTTTATTTTTCTAATGGCTTTGGAATCACTCAAAAAGGATGTGTATAACTCAAGTTATGGTCAAAATAGTGAGTAGAGATCAAGCTGTCAAGATTTACGATGCCCGACGTAGGTATTCTATTTTAGTTTGCGTTTTTGACGTTTTGGGACTCCTTTTTTTTGGCATGTTTGTGATAACTTATGATTTCTTAGTGATGCTTATAAAACTTATGATATGATTGAATGAGTTTGATGTGGGATTGTGAAAGATGCTATTGTATTGATAGATTTTGATGATGGTTGTGAATCGTATGATGTCTAATAATGACTATTGTATGAAGAGATATAAATGGTGTTATGCTGGATGGAATGTAAATTAATTATGAGTTAAAGATTGATGTGTATGAGGAGGTTGTGCAAGATATGTGTATGAATTATTACTTTATGTGGAAATGTTGGTTGTGCATGTGATGTGGAATTGAATTGTGAATTGTGATGTGATGATTAGGCACAATTGTATGCGTGACACCAGACTGTAAGGGCATGCACATGATACAGTTCTATTTATGGATTATTGTGGGCATGGTCATATGCGTGATACGGTACTAGATGTGTGATACGGTACTAGATGTGTGATGTGTCAAGTACAGTCGTATGCGTGATATCGGTGCCGGTAGTGGAATGCATTAGCATAGTCAGGTGTGTAACACGATGCTGGATGTGTGATGCATTAGTAGGGGTGTGTACGTGATCTGGTGCTAGATGTGTGACACGTTGTATATGTGTAATTTTTTTATAGGAACATATGTGGATTGTGATGAGATGATGGAATATATGGATTGTGATGAGATGATGAAATATGTGGATTTGAGAAATGATGTTAACATGTTTGAATGATGAATGTTGTGTTTATGGATTATATTGCTTTGAGATTGTTTTGTGGAATTTCGTGATGTGCTTTTTATATAAATATTTTATTTTCTCACCATACGTTTGTGGTTGTTTTTAGGTGAGGAAGATGTGGATATGAGTGACATTCAAGGTGCTAATAATTGAGTCATGGGAGTGCTCTGATAATGTGACATTCGGGCAAGGGCCTTCTAGGACTTTAATTTTTATTGTAATTAGAGTTTTTACATTTTATTTGAAATTATTTATGAACTTATTTGCTTTCTAAACTTTATTTTAAATTGATTGAATATTGGAAATGTATTTTCTTTTAGAGATGTGAACCATTTTACCCGTGTTGGAGTAACATTTCTTTATATTATTTTATACATGTATTGAGGTAGAATGAGTGTCACAAATTACCAATAAAAATAGCTATCATTTTAGTATTGGGATTACATCCTATGAAACCTTGTATGAGAGGAGGTGTAGGACACCTTTATGTTGGCATGAACCCGAAGAAAACCTTGTGTTAGGACCTAATGTAGTATAGTAGACTACAAAATAAATAAGATGATCCAAGATAGGATGAGAGCAACCAAAAGTAGCGAAAAAAATGCGAATTGTAGACACCAGGTTTTGTTTGAGCTTTATTTGTAAGGGCCAGGAAGCTTCTAAGACGAGAGAAGCAACCCCCTGAAGTCAAGGAAGATACAAAATTAAGTCGAAATGGAACACAAGACATCCAGGAAGCTTTTCTGCACCAAAACGGTCAATATAAAATCTATTCTCAAGTGCTAGAGAGATCCATGTAGAGTGAGGAGGCTGGTAAAAACCACCTCTGTACAGTTTTATGAGAAGATCATATAAAAGCTTGCTTCGGAGGTTTCAATCTCTTTCCCCTATTTACTACTTTAATTGTATGCTTAAGATAGTCACCATGTAGACAATAAGGCAAAACGCAGTAGAGTAGGAATAAATAACCATGTATGATTAATAAATAAAGGGTAAAAGCTTAATTACACTGTCATAATGCTAGATTTGTCATAAGGTACCGAGATCGGGCACTATGGGGTGCCTAACACCTTCCCCATGTGTAA